TATATTCAAAAGTGTCTTGCCTACCGGAGCACCAAAACTCACTCTGACGATTTTTGCATTGCCTGATAAGGCTGCAACCCGTAGTGCACTTTGACCATTTATGGAAAGCTGCTCAACAGGGGCACCAAGACTGAGCAACTCTCGAACAACCTGAAATCGAAGTTTTGTATTTTTGAACCTCCAGGAAGGACTTCTTCCTCACCTCTTCGCTCTCACCCTGGCAAGCATTTATCAACGGGTGATTGCCCGAACGATCAGCAGCATGCACGGTGACTGATGTAGCTAAAGCTCGACACAGAATGACATCACCATGGGCCACCGCGTAATGTAAAGCGACTGCACCATCGTTGTCCTGTAATATCTAGTTTTAGAGAATTCATAGTACCTAAGACCTATCAAAAATTTATCTAGAAAACACTAGAAAAATCGTATTCTGAGGGAATGGAAATCAAAAAAAAAGTTCCCAGTTTGTCTCTCTAGGTAGTTGAACGACTTGACAGTAGCATAGGGACGAAACCATCTAATTGTAAACAATTTTCAAAGGCAATAGAATTCGGTGTTGCGGGCCAGAAATATAAGTAGAGCACAGTAACGCTCGGTTTCCCTATTTCCAATTTCACAATATTTTACAATGAATTTTTGAAAGAAATAAGGTTGAATTGTAGTTCTTGAACAATGAACATTAGCTGTGCATTTAGTGATTAGAAGGTTGCAATATAAAGATCTGATAAGATGATAGACCACGATTTATATGAAAATAGGGCGCTCAACGCATGATGACGGACACATTTTTTGCAAATAGAACCAACTTGATGGCTCATCGGAAGTGTTTTCTAAGAATAAAAAATTCATTTACCTTATGCGCTTCATCCGCTCCTAAAGCAAGCAGTACGTCAACTACGGGTAGATGCCCATGAATTGCTGCTAGCTGGAAAGCCGTTCTTCCATCCGAGTCGATGCAGTCGATGTAAGCGCCTGAAAATCCATTTAACAAGTCCTCGTTTTGATGAAAATTGTTATTTGATTCTCTTTCGAAGAAAAGAAGTTTTCAACTTTGAGTTATTGGCACTTTGTACCCCAGCAAATTTTCCCAAAAAGCACATCGGGCGGAATCGCGATTGACAGCATAGCTTGAGAAAAAATGAAACAGGCTTCGAAGATGGCCGTGATTTGGTAGAAGTAAAACCTTAGCCGAATAAGTATAACATACCGTTCTTAACCAGCAAATCCACAGCCTCCAACTGACCCTGGCTAGCAGCCAGCATTAGTGGAGTTCTTCCTAGCGAGTCCTAAAACAGAGTTTAAGGCTCTAGTAATTTAGGGGAAAAATTCACTAACCTGTACATCGATGCAAGTGGAACCTATAAATGAGCTTAGATTTTTGTCACCATAGTAAGCAGCTAAGTGAATGCAGAGACGACCATGAGCATCCGCCATCGTTACATCGCTTCCTCCTATAAAAAACACTTGAACTTTTAGAATATGGTGTCAAAACCATCAAAAATGGTTTTAATCAGTTATGAAAAGTTTTTCATAACTGATTAAAACCATTTTTGAAGGTTTTGACACCATTTTGAACTTATTCTCGTTTTTAAAAGCCTGGAACCTTG